GGGTGGGAGGGGTGGGGGTAAGAGTGTGGTAGTCAGTCTACGGACTGACTACCACATATACCTTGACCTGTTGAGCCAGTTAAGTAGGTTCAGTAGTTGTTCATCTTGTTGTAGTAAGTTGAAACTCCATAGGTTTGTGCCCTGGGAGACGACCTGGAGGGATCTTCAAAGTTACAACCTGTAACTCCTGTTGCATTACTGAGTAGGAGTGTCACAGCAAATGGAGCCTCTAAATATGAATTGACATGCTATTAAAATAAGAGTTGAATTAATATTGCTAACTTTATTCTTGAATCTACCATTAAGGTCAGCTAAAATAGCCCCTAGCTTTTACCACAGTTTATAGTTTTATAGTTTAGTTTTTTCACTTATTTTACTGAATGTTCCTTTGTCATTGGTAACAGGACAAAAACACACTAAGTATCGTGAACTAATTTAGAAATGATTCAGGCGAAATTTGACAAAACTAAAATCACCAAGATTGGTGTGATTTCGCACTAGATAACGGTGTTAATCTGTCTCCTTTAAACTACAGAGACACTAAAACTGAACTATTAATTCCCAGATGCCATCCAACGTGTTTCCTTTTTATTTGTTGGAAATGACACCGCTGATGTTCAGTGTAAAATCGTGATACATTTCTCACCATCACTCTCTGTAGCTTATTGGCGGTTCTGGCTCTGTGTCTCTGTCGTCTACGAGCTCTTCCTCATCTTCATCCTGTTCCAGGTGAGTGCCTTTATGATGAGGCCTTGATTGGCTGGAACACTCACAATCATTCAGAGGGGCATGTGTACATCAGCATATGCACATACAAAAGCATTGCCACGGGGAAAACTATATAGTAATCACATGCATACTTGAAGTATGTCAGTTACAACACACTTCCAGAACAAGACACTCGATGAAACCATCAGTTCGCATTGAGCTTTGATTTAAATCTGGGATCATGTGGTGTCCAGAAACCAAAGCATGCAGCTACATCCTGAAAACCCCGAAGACATTTTCAAACCATTACAAAACACTGGCCAAAATTTTACTCTAATCCCTGGTGCTTTTCTTGCTGTGATCTGCTCTTACAGGTGCAACTCTCTTTGCTCTCTCAAGGTTTAATTAAGATGTCTGTCGCTGATCTAAATGCTTTAAAATAGCAACAGCTAGCAAAGTATAGCTTTATCAGGACTGGATACTGTTGGAAGAAATTCTAAATACTTAAGCCATCTACCTTTATGGCTAATGTGAGGGAAATTAAAATTGTAGCTGGGCAAAAGCATTAGAAACGTTTTATGCCCCAAAAGTGTACATTTAATCGAAGGGAAGAACTTGACAACTGCAGAGAGTTCCCAGTTTGACAAAGAAACCAGACTGATTGATGAGGGAAATGTATTGCTCTGATTTAAAAGATATGTTATGTAACACACTAAAAATTACATGTAGTGAAACGTATACAGAGAATTTTTTTTGGTAGATCAGGGTTTAACAGTCAAAATTATTAGATGTTATAATTTGTTGAGCTGTGCCGTTCTGAGCTTTTGACAATATGATTCATTTAACATATTTAATGATTCATTATAAAAACATTTTCTTGTGGTCTCATTATGACTCTGTCTTCATAAATATATTTTCCAGGGACAATAAGATCTGATAGTTTCTGTAATTTTCCTTTTAAACCCTGTTATCCAGACGGTGCATGATGGACGACAGTTCATGAAGTACATTGACCCCAAACTGGGGGTACCCCTCCCTGAGCGTGACTATGGAGGAAACTGCCTCATCTATGACCCTGGCAACACCACCGACCCCTTCCACAACGTTTGGGTGAGGCTATTTATTTTATTGTACATTTTATTGTACGTCACCGTGCACCTTGTCTTTTCAGCTGTGAAAGGATGCATGACTCGGTTTCAGCAGGGCAACAGCTATGCATGTATATATTTAGACACGCACATATACTCTGAGTATTGTAATGTTTGGTTGAAAACTGCCTGGAAAGTGATGGGCCAACTTCCAAGATGTAAAACATCTGCAGATACAAAAAACTTTCCCCAAGAGAAAACACTAATTTTATCATTTGTGTTTCAGCAGGTGAAAAAGTGACATGAAATTTAAACTGCTTTTCAGAGTTTTCAAAATAACTTGTTAAATGAACACAATGGTTTGTCTCTACAGGACAAGATGGATGGTTTTGTTCCAGCTCACTTTCTGGGATGGTATATCAAGGTAAGAATAAAATAGGCTGCTTAACACACTAAATATGACTGGACCTAGAGTGCACTGGCTTCAATTGTACTGCCCGGTGAAATTTCACCTGCCCAATCTTAACAAAATATTTTTAGTTGATTCATCATGAACCTGCTGACCTCCTCCCACTTCGTACTGTTCTGCTCCTACTCACAGTTCTGGTTTGCTGTGTTTTTTCAGACGCTGGTGATCCGTGACTGGTGGATGTGTATGATAATCAGTGTCATGTTTGAGTTCCTGGAATACAGCCTGGAGCACCAGCTACCTAACTTCTCCGAGTGTTGGTGGGACCACGTACGTACAAAGAGAACTGCTCCGCTCCTTTGCTTACCTAAGAATCATCAAGTACACTCTCGGGGCAAATTAGATTTAAATCATATAAACATTTTCCAGGGATTTAAAAGAATGTATGATCCTTGAAAGTCACAGTGGTATGAATTGCAGTTCCATGAAAATGAGTGAACAGACTTATGCAAGCTGTAATATAATTATAGCAACAAAAAACAAAAACATCACTGAGTGAACATATTAAGTGGGGGACCAGAGCGCAATGACAAACATGTTATCCACTTCTCTTTATTTGTTGTATTTCATCAAAAAGCCAAAGTGTTCCCAAACAGGAGGCAACCTTAATGATAAGGGAGGCTCCTCAGGCTCTGGCGTCTTGTTTGCATTGGCCATGACATTTACTAGCCAAGGGCTTGATTAAGCTAAGCACGCTGTGTTCCTTTCTGCCACTTAATATGTTCATGTGGGAATGCAAATTTGTTACGCATGCCAAAAAAAAGCCTACTACTATTAAAGACTGTATTTGGTACATGGAGCATTGAGGAAGCATCATGATTTTGCAATACCCTGCAATCTGATGCCTGTGGGTGCTGTATTAAAGCTGTTTTATCAGCATGTGCGGTTTCATTTTTTGCTATTGAGATTTATGACGTCATTTAAGTGCTCATTTGTTTGTATGAGGACCCTATATTATGCTAGTGGGAAATTAAGCAGTCTAATCAACACATCAATGCATGGGGAATGAAGTGAACACCATAAGAAAGCAACAAAATAGAGCATAAGCAAACACAAAGTGGGGGTATTAGGATGAAATATTGACTATAAAAACATTAAGTAGACTGACAACTCCTTATTTACAGTAAATATGGAAGAGGCCTAATCTGGCAGAACTGTGTAAGTGGATCACAGTTATGTAGGGGCATTGCTATATCTTTTAAATAAAACAGTTTTCTCTCACCAGTGGATCATGGATGTGTTGGTGTGTAATGGTCTGGGGATCTACTGTGGCATGAAGACCCTGGGCTGGTTGTCGATGAAGCCCTACCAGTGGCAGGGCCTGTGGAACATTCCTACATACAAGTACGACTTCACACACCCTGCGCCTGGATCAGCTCCCATAGCAGGATTTTCTTTTTCCTGTTCAGTTCATTCCTAAGGGAAAAACAGTGGTAGTCTTGTACTGTTACACAATGATAGAAAGTACAACATCCAAATGAATGAATGAATGAATGATGGTGGTTGTTAACCGCCATGTGAGAATACTTTTTCTCTGTTTCCATAATTACTATCCTTAATACATAGTTTCATTACTGTGAAATCATGCAAGGTTTATTTGTTTTTGAATATATCAGGCAGTTTGTGACAGAATTGTCTAAGATGTGTGCAGTGGCCTCAGTCTGTTGCTCGACCGGTGTGGTATGTTTTGGTTACATCGCCACGGTGGCAGCGATAGTTTGTCTAAGTGCTCCTCTACTGTTTGCCTCCCAGGGGGAAGATAAAGCGTATAGCATTCCAGTTCACACCTTACAACTGGGTCAAGTTTGAGTGGAAACCTGCTTCAAACCTTCGTCGCTGGCTTGCTGTGTTAGGCATAATCTTTATGGTAAGAAATAACATAATGGCAACAAGGAATGAGGCTGCAATATAATAAAATAAAAACACTGAAATCATCATACCTATCCCAAACATAAGCTCCATCACCAAGAACGGGTCCCCACTGCTTAAGCATCTTAAGCCAAATGTGCATCCCAGTGTTTTGTGCTCTGCACAGTGAGAGATTAAAAGAAGAGATTCCAGCACCTGGGATTCAGCATTTGTTGCTTTTATCACTGTCATTCTGACATTTTATAGAGTGAACAATCCATTACTGCTTGGACAAGTATTCGGTAACAGCTATCTTCTTACTTTGTGAATCTGTTTAATAATAAATGGAAACATAATGAGCCACCACCTACAAATGTTAAACGACTTAAGTAATTTGCACATGTAAGATATGGACTTTTTTGTTGTCTTCAATTAATTTAAAATGTCATTGCTTCTAAATTAAGATGTCTCCCTTCCAAGTTCCTCCTGGCAGAGCTGAACACCTTCTACCTGAAGTTTGTGCTGTGGATGCCGCCTGAACACTACCTGGTGCTGCTCCGCCTGGTCTTTTTTGTCAACGTTGGAGGTGTAGCCATGAGGGAGATCTACGACTTCATGGATGACCCGTGAGTATCAGAGAAATTAAGCTGACTGGTGGAGGGGTTGGCTGAGTGCACAGGCTGATCACACGTAGAAGCACAGCGATGAACATGGCATCAGGCACTCAGTCTCTGGACTCATAGATATGTTTGAAGTAACACCACAGGAAGGGAGTAAATCAGCCTATTACATAACTGGCAGGTGTGTGTTGCTCTAGCAGTACTAATAATACTCACAAAGCCAAAGGAGTGTTTTCACTTACAGTTGACTCATACAGCAAGTTCACAGCTAGTAGAGAAATCACCAATGCCTACATGTACCAGTATGCACTGTGTGTGGTTGTTGGGGCAGTTGTTGATAAACCCCTGAGACCAAGTTACGGAGTGTATTTACCAGAGTGATATGCTTCTTATCACATCTGCCTACTAAAAGAAAGCATTTGTGCTTGTCTTAAAAATATACTAACATTTTACTAATACTTTTACACAGTGAAGAGGGCAGGCAACAACTTCCATCCTCATAAAATTAACTGCTCTGACATTTAGCAACAAAATCCCAGTAAATAGAATATAATTAAAACTAGTCATACACAAGCTTCTGTGTTGTTTTTCTTGGTATTTGTTATTGGCTTTAAGTAATCTTTAAGGAAAGTTTCAAGTGTCACAAACACATATTTAGCTTTTGTTTAATAAACGTGTTTTGTAATTTTTCCTCCAGGAAGTTCCACAAGAAGCTTGGCCAGCAGGCGTGGTTGGTGGCGGCAATCACGGTGACCGAGTTCCTCATCGTGGTCAAGTACGACCCCAACACCATCATGCTGCCCATCCCCTTCTTCGTCATACAGTGTTGGTTATTAGGAATCCTCCTCATCGTTACCTGGACCCTGTGGCGGTTTTTCATTCGGTAAGAATTGGAGGGGGGTTACGGGATAGGATAGGAGGAAAGGGGGCACTGGCTATTGCAGTTAAATAAATAGCCAGTTGTTCTCAGAAGTCAGACAGGAGGCACAAGGGCTCAGTCACTGAGACAGAGGAACTGTTGGCACATGTGGCAGTCAGCACGCCGGCCCCTCAGACCGAATGGCCCATCACCTGATGAGATCGGCCCCACCACTTCTCATGGCGCACCGCCCTCAAGTCGCACAGTACAGACACTAAAGCATGTCATGTTGTAGCTATTCAGACCTGGGTGAAACTGTATTTGCAAATAATTTTCATGGTTAGTTTTAGCCTTTTTTGGGACAGCTTTGCCAAACATTAACATTTTGAGAAGAATTTTGACCATCATTATGCTTAATATGCCATCATATAATATACTTTCACTGTCTCCCTGATCCAATGAACCCCAAAAATAGTACAAATAGGAAAGAATGATCTTTTTGGACCCAGTTGTATCCCTCTCCGTTATTTAAATACACCACTTTTGAATCAGCTGAGGTGAGAGTCGAGGGGATATTTCACTCAATGTGCATCCAGTACAGTCGTGCAGATTTATCAAGATACACAGCTGGTGGTGCTTTTCTAGTTTGTTCCCGCTGCCCTTGGTCACTTTTTGCTTTTAACTCTTTTCCACTTCAGGCAAGTGTAAAACCTTTTGAAATTTCCACCATTTTCACTCTGTGCATATGCACAAATTGAAAATTTGCACAGGTGGATGAAAGCCCACCTAGTGGCCAGACCATTTACAAACTGTCATCAGACTTTGATTCAAAAATCCAATTAGTGCACAGAAAAACAAGACGTCAGCTTTTCCAAGTTAATACATAAATGAAGACTTCTTGGTCCCCCAGCAGTGTGCACGGGATGTCCCTCAGTGTCAAAATGGCTTTCCATTTGATCTTGAACACACAAATGGCAAATAAAATATATATTCTCTTACCAGATGTGTGCGGTGACCACATTAAACACTTTAATCCATTACCTAAGAGCTGTACAGCAATCTGCACTCAAGTAAACCAATAATTTCCTCTAAAATTTTCCTTAAAGACACTGGGTTTAATATTTGATGCTGGCAAATGAGCCTCTCCATCACTGCAGGGCGGCGTGCCAACCTGCTTGGCATTCTGCCCTTCCTTTGTGATGGTCATAATGGAGAAGTGTTTCCTGTTTATAGAAGCTATACATAATTTAGAGGAAAAACCGCTTTAATTTCAACATTAACTGAAGTCCTTGTTTATGGTTAAATCAACAAATGAACAGACTGAAACACAGAAAGCAGCAGATACTTTGCATTTAACTGAGTTAGGTGAGTTGTATAGAGACTGAGCCGGTCCTTTCCCACTTTTCTAAAGTAAAGTAGCTTCTGTAACACAGTTGTTGTTTTTTTTAATGAAGCATTTCTTCTGCTGTCTTGCTATAGATCTGAAATATTTTATGACGGGTTTTATAGTATAAGAAAAATTAGGGGCAATGAAAGTTGGTGGAACAGAAACGGGGTAGACGAGTACCTGAGACCGATTTTATATTAATTGTGCACATCTTTTCCTTCAATCCTCCCACAGTGACATCACACTCCGCTACAAAGAGACCCGTCGGCGCAAACAGGAAGTCCCCACTGACCGGGACCGCACTCAGGGCAATGGCAGCACAGCCACCCCGCCTGGACGGAGCAAGCTGAATGGCAGCTCCGAAACCTTGCGGCAGAGGAAGACTTGAGGGCAAATCGTGGGTCAGAGCGGTCGGTCAGAATGGACAAGGTTTGGTGGGGAAAAAATGAATAATGAAGGAGAAATGTGACAGATGAGTGTAGAGAAAAACAGATGGACACATGTGCTGTGTAGTTTGTTCTTGTGCCTACATGAACCAAGTGATTCAAAAGAGGCAATAGGTGCAATTTTTATTCAGTGCATTGTTTAGTTATTGTCTTATTACAGGAATTTACCTCATTCTATTTTTAAGAACATTTGTGGAGATACACAGGAAAACATACATGTATGTGTTATACATAATTTGGGTGATGGAGGAAACAAGCTGAATCACAAGTAGAGTAGTAAAAGGTCAGAGGTCTAGGCTCATTCGTCAACAGCAGTTTCCATTTTCTCAGCTGCACTTTGTCTTAGAAAACAAGGTAGCGTCAGGAACATATCTGCCTCTGTAAATATGCTTTGTTCTGTTTTGTGCAGTCAAATCGGTGCAAATGAGAAAAAGGCAAGTATTCGTAGTAGTTTCTGTAGGTGTAACAGTGGATATGGATTCCAGTTATTGTCCACTGCTATGCAATCTTCAGTATCAGTCTGGGATTTTGGCCACAATATTGCCAAGCTGCAGTTGAAATTAAGCGTAGTTAATACTGCCACATTTCTGCTATGTTCAGTTTTCCCATTCATTGTTTAGAGTACTTTTTCATAGGTCTGACAAGTTCTAGATACATTGTTTACATGTGAGAGACAATATAATCTTTTCATTTACAGTTCAGGATGTTCATTCCTGGAAGCACTGAGTTCTAGTCCCAGAAAGGAGAGGGAAATCTGCCCAAAGCCATTTCTCCTCTTAGGCTTTGCTCTCCAAAAGAACAATAAGTGTATATATTATATATAAGAAAAACAAAAAGTCAAGATGTACCATATTCTAGGCATTTAACTGGTTATTTTATGATATGATATAGTTTGTTTGTAGATTTGTCATCACTACTGTTACTTCTGTATGATAAATCGATTATGAACACTAGACTGTACTGAAGTTACTTTCTGCAAGATGATGTACACATGACAATCATCCTGACAGAAATCTTCGCTCCTCTTCCCTCTAATGGAGATGTGCCAGCTCGTTCACAGCAGAGATCTGGATGTTCTTCCACTGCAATGTGGCTCAACTGTTGGCTCATTCAGTTACATCAGAATATGAGTTTAATATGTTTTCATTATGCCAAATGTTCTTTTTAATTAATTCTTCACTTTTATTACGTTGTCATGTTCTGCAGTGTTTGGACCAAAACAAAATGAGAACCAACCTTATTATCAGAGGAATGATGGTTTAACATAGGTTTGGCTGGGTTGTGGTTTGGGAAGAAAACCAACTTTGCCATATTACACTTACAAATAGCCAAAGCTTAGATCTTATTTTTGCTAAAGCCATAAATGCCAGCCAGACCCACTTGAACTACTCAAATTGCTGTTAAGCCTCATTTAGATTTATTTTAATTCAGACTAAAGCAGTTTAAAATCAATCTGGGTCATTAAGTCAGCAGACAGTTTTGTTACAAAGGTAATTTGACACCTGGAGGTGAGATGGTTGAAAATCAAATTTACTTTGACGATGAGTGTTCGTAAAAATTGTAGACCTCAACTCCCTTGTTTCTGTTTCACAGAATAGCTCTGTCCAAATATCTTGTTGCTTTAGATTTTCTTGTCACAAATTTGTCAAATGTTGAACTTAAACATTTAGTTGATCACCAGAAAATTAATCAGGAACTATAATGATTATTAGTTGATTATTTTAATCATATGTCAATCAAATATCCCAAATGTTCTCAGGTAACAGCTTCTCTGTTACGTGATGAACTGAATATCTGTGGGATTTGGGCTATTGGGCAGACAAAGCAAGGAATCTCAAGACAACAGATAAATAATTAAACTTATTATGGCCATTTTCTCTATTTCCTGAGCAGTTTTAGTTAAGTGTTCTAAATATTTTATAAGAATCCAGCATCGTCAGATCCAAGCATTTACCTGTTACCAAGAACCATACCCAACAAAGCTTTAGTCTTTGTCCAGTTCCAGTCTTGCAACTGTCAGAGAATCTGTCTCTGTGTGTAACACATTGTGTCCCAGTAGCTACTCACTACATAGATGATTACAAAGTAGATGGCATCTGTGAATTTAGCTCTAAAATCCAATTGTGCACTAGTCTGATGATTGAAGATGCTGTAGTAATTTTCTTGTGAATAATCTAGCAGATCAGTTCAAATGAGAGGGCCTGGTCATCCATCACCTTATTTTGATATAAACAGTTACGATAACATTTAGGCTCCTCATGCTTATCCAGGCTCTATGTGCATACTTTAGCCCTCTTTCTTGAATGCAGATTACGGTGCAAGTTTAAAACCTTAAAAACAATGTTCAGCTGATAAGTCAAAGTTTGTACTTGTTGTCCTGTCTTAATGCAGCTGATTTAGAGCTTGGTAGAAGTTGAGAAAGTTTGCTTTTCCCCACTGCATTCTTAAACGAAAGCTTTTTAGGCATAGGCTGGAGATTTAGCATTGGATTGGTTAAAGTGCATTTGTTTGAAGACTTACACCGACCAAAGTAATTTTGCACATCAGCTCTGAAATCACACTGGTGACTTCAGAGACTGAACTGAGCTGTTGAATGAAATGGGAACAGGTCAAAGAAAAAAACTAAAGCAGGACCTCTTCCTTGAGTGTTTGGTGTAGTTTCACCTGTGGCCACATGGGGGCGGTAATGATCGGTTACGGTCTCTGCTCTGTGTTCTTCTCTCTTTGACAGTGAGCACAGGCAACTTGCCACAAAAGCCATTTTCATCTTGGTTTGTGTAAATGGGAACATGTTAAAGATCATAAAACTGAAATATGCTGCTGCACCACAGAATTTTGTAATGTTTTCAGTAAAATCTAATGAAAACCTGAATTGAGCAGTCTGTTTAATTTTTACCAAATCACATCACAGGTAGGTGAGTGTGTTTAATTTTTCAATTTAAAGCATCTTATCTATTGTAGTTATGTGGTGCTATGGTATGTGTGCACAGGATCCATGCTCTAGTGACTACTATAATTTAATACATAACGTTTTCTAACACTAGAAGTAGCGGTTGGCATGAAAGATGTGTTTGTGTATTTTCTTTTACCATGCAGGCAGACTTGAACAGGTTGGGCAAGTACGTCTAGCAGGTAAGACAAATGAAGTCATCTGACCTTTCACTCTACTTGGAAGTTAAGTAACTTTTTTTGTCAGTTCTTACCTCCTGCTATTCTAATATTAGTCATCAGAGAAAAGTTTCTGATTAATCTATTTTGGCCAAGTAATGCTGATTTATTTTGGAGCTGCATCTTTACAATAGTAAATAGTAAATGGTTTCCTTGTTTTCAACATTTACCTTACTCATGCACCGGGTGGTTGGTGGCTCAGGTGATAAAGTAGGTTTGATCATAAGATTAACCGTTAAATCCCTGGCTCCACTAGTCTGACACTAAATGCGACAATCTGTGACTGTGTGCATAAGTCGGTGTGTTTTGTTCTGGTCTCTCAGTGATGCAGTTTACAAGTCTAATTCCTTGATTTCCTGTAAAGAACCTATATAATTTGGCATCTTTACAGGTCATTTAAGCATAGAAAAATGAAAAGCCCAATTGTCACTATATGCTGTTGGCAGTTATTCAGTATACCGACTTAAAACCTTTTAATATAGCAAGTCAGCAATGACTCCTCCCTTTACAAAGTGATAACATTGTTTTTGGTGAACTGTTGTAGAGAGGTCTTGATTCAATATTGTTGTTTCAGACTACTATGTGCTGCTGTTGAACTGTACCGAATTATACATTATCAATGGGGTGGACAAAATAATAGAAACCCACATACATTTCAGCAGCACCACAATGAATCAACACCTTTAAAATGGGAACTCATCACCTTCATGGTGAGATGATTTATTGGTCTGTTTTAGATGGCATTTAGCAAGATGTACCTAATAAACTGCCAGCTGAGTGTATATGAAAATTAGTTTCCAAAAATAGTAAACTAACAATGAGAACTCTCTCATTACCCATAATTAGTACCAAATGACAAAGTTCTTTCCAGGAACTATAGTTAGGAAGTCTTTAGGTAGCTTCATGCAGTGTTACCCAAGAGCAGACCATTGACTTGTTAAGAATGGAAGATTTATTGTCCTAGACTAGAGTCTGACACATGAAAACACACTCACCAGCCACTTTATTAGGTACACATTTACAACTGAATGCAGGTCAGGTGTTGCTGTACTGGACTACATTATATTTAGAGGGGTCACCCCCAGCTACATGAGAGGGTCAGAATATTGGAAACACCTGAATATAATGTAGTCCAGTACACCACTGTAAATTAAGACCTCAAAAATAAACGACTGAATTTATGCATTTTACAATTTCACCAAAACAAACATTTTGAGCTTCATAAACAGATGTTAAGGTGGTGTTGCATTAAATTGCATACAAATGTACTTGCATAGTTTCATCCATCTTTCACATGGTTTTCTTACCACTAATCACTTTGCAAACAAAACCGATAATCCTCTAGAGGCCAGTAAACTGTATTAAACCCTAGGCAGAACAATGGATTTAATCTTGTAATGCATTTAATTAACTGGGGTTCAAATAAAGACAAATAGTTCACATATCTCTGCTTGTAGTACTTCCATCAGTACAGTTAAAACACCGTCATGGATTCCCTGAAGCAGCTGGAGTGGGTTTAAAGGTCAACCCTAAGAGCACTAGAAAGGCAAAGCAGTGTGTCAAATATACAAAATGCATAGTCAAATCTATCAAAACACAGGAGTATAAAAGGTTCTAGCAATAGACTGCTTATAATAAACACTGCCCAGCCACATTCATAGTCACACCTGTACAACTGTATACAATTTAACATCTGTGTTTGTGAAGCTCAAAATGTTTGTTTTTGGTGAAATTGTCAAATGTGTAAATTCAATTATATGTTTATTATTGAGGTCATAGTAAAAGGTGGTGCTGTACTGGACTACATTATATTCAGAGGTGTTCCTAATATTCTATAGCTGAGGAGGGCGAACATATAGGAACACCTCTGAATATAATATAAAAAACAAACATTTTGAGCTTCACAAACACAGATGTTAAGAAGGTATTGCATTAAATTGCATACAGTTGTACAAGTGTGACTATAAATGTGGTTGAGCAGTGTAATCTACGCCTGAGATCTTCCTCTAAAAACATCCCATGGCCACTTTGGTGTAAGGTTAAAAAGATCAGCCTACAAAGCTTGATGTTCTTTGGTGATTTTTGAGTAAAAGGCACCAAGCAAATGTGTGGAAATTTATGGTGGAATCAGATCTAACAGTAAATACATTGCTTACATGTGCAAATAATGTAAATCTGCTCAGCCTCATCCTACAGCCAGAGGTACTGTATGTTGACAGGGATGTTTAAATCTTTACTTGAAATCTAAAAACACACATACATTAGCAAGTTGCAAAGACTGGTACTAAAAGGAGCCGTTAGTTTTTCAGTAACAGACTGGTTAGCGACAAGATGACAATCCAGTAGCTGCCTGGGTTCAAAAAACTGACTTTTGCAAAAAAGTGAGTGACAAATATTTTAGAAATAAAGTTAGCCCTGTTTATATTTCTAAGATCTGACCAGTTTGAAGCCTTGTCCAGTGTCCAGTACCGCTGGGGGAAACCAGTTGAGTTTGATTCTCTTTAGACATTTCAGGCAAACACTGCAGATCCACAACAGATTCAAGCCACCACACCACAG